GTAAGATATAGCTAAATATAACTAAATTTTTATTTAGTTATATTATATTGAATTTTTTATAAGAATATTATTATACATATGGAGTAAAATTCCTGTAGCGAACTAAGTGAAAAAAAGTTGATCCGATCGGGCTGTAACTTGCACATAGTTTAACCCTAGGGGTAAGTAATTTAACCACAAAGTATTGTTAGGTTTTTTAAAAACTGTCGGAGAGGGAGGGGATTGAATTTTTTTGAAAAATTTAAACAGTGAATTTTTGAAGACTTGTAACTTTTAAACAGAAAGAAGAAAAAAATTTGTCCTATATGTTTTCGAAAGGTTTTTTCCTGCTCTTTCGAGTGGTGCAAATTTTTTTTGTTTTAAATTCAAATTTTGACTCTTTTTGAAAATTAAACATTTTTTCGAATTTTTTTTAAGTTCGTTCCTTTTTATTTTTTTTATTTATTTTTTTTTAAAGCTAAAAATGTGTTTTTTCACCACAAAAAATATTGAGATGTCCTTTTTTGTAATCTTCGAGATAATTATTAATTAATTAATGTTAATAAAAAATGAAATATTTCACAAATAAATAAAGTTATTGCAATCCTGAAGGTACCAATCGAAAGCTGACGTAATTCCGCATCCAACGAGCCATATATAGACTATTTTGGATTAGAGGATTTTTTATAAACAATTGCCATTTTAGCCAATTGTTTATTAACAATCCACTAACCCAAATTACTTCATATAGGGCTCGTTGGATGCAAAATTATGTCTATTTTGGATTAGAGGATTTTTTATAAACAATTGCCATTTTAGCCAATTGTTTATTAACAATCCACTAACCCAAATTACTTCATATAGGGCTCGTTGGATGCAAAATTATGTCAACTTTCATTTAGTAACGTCAGAATTACGATAACTTTATTTGTTATTAAAAGATTTAACAATTTTTACATTTATTTTAATTAACATATTTAAGAATTAACAAATAAAATTATTTATATTGTTAAAAATTATTAATATGTTAGAAATGATATGCTAATATACTCATTGTAATAAATAATAAACAACTAAAAAATTGTTCAATGGTTTTACAAAATAATAAACCTATCTATTTCATGTGTTTGTTACAAGGAACATTTCCTAAGAAACGTTCATAGTCTCCCTTGGTCGAGCGCGTCTAGGCGCAGCTCCCAGTACGGTTGAGCCCTGCAGTGTAGATACACTAGTGATGGTCGAGAGCTCGAATCTCGGGAGTCAATCTGTTAAAAAATTTCGAGAATGTGTTAGGATTACTAATTTTTTTTATTTTATTATCATTGTCATTATTTTAAATTAATTTCTTCTAGTAAAAAATCTTGTCCACTATTTAAACTATGCAGGTATATCCCCTATATTGTAACAGTAAACCAAATAAATACGATGGAACTATCACTTTGTGTGCTCTTTTTTAAACACGAAATTATTAAGTTTTTAAAGCAATAAAAAAAGTGCAGAAACAGTAACGAAATAACATAGCGGAGGATGGGGCAAGAATGGTTAGTTAAGACGTTTTGGAATCTAGCGACCAAACCTGAATTTGTATCTGCAAACGAGTAGTATTTTCGGAAAGCCTGGTTATTTGGCTATATAATTAAGCACCATTATGGGTGTTTTCGACATTCGCTCAGAGTTAACTCTAGAGTTAGCAGTGGTGCTCAAATGTAAATTTTGATTTTCAGTTCGTCTGTTGGTTGTGAACGTTGTTGATTGGCAATTTGGCATAGACGATTCATTTTGATTGGCGCAGGGTTTGCAATTGTAACAACATGTGAAACGGGCCTTTTATTCTAGTAATGTAATGTTAAAATAAAATTTTTTGTTTCTAGATTTCATAAAAGTCCCCAAAAATTTATTACTAGATGACCCAGAGTTAACTCTGTTTTCTTGCGAGAGTAAAGAAAAAGGGTCAGTCCTAACCTTTAAGATGACCCAGAGTTAACTCTGTTTTCTTGCGAGAGTAAAGAAAAAGGGTCAGTCCTAACCTTTAATGGCCGACAAAATTTTTGAACGGATTGTTTGTTTTGAAAAGTGTAAATTGAAACATAATAATTTATTTTTATTAAAAATTATTTTAACTTTTTATTTATAAAAAACAACTTTAATTAAAATAAATAATCTAGTTTCTAAAACAATTCAGATTAATTAAAGTTAGGGAAATAATGAAAAATTTGAAAATTATAAACTTTAAAAAAATATCACGTTTATGGGTAGCAAAAATATGTTCCATTTTTAAATGAAAAACAAAAAATACGTATAAATTAAAAAAAAGTAAGCAAACAAGGACAACTAACTTCAAACTCAGGGTGATGAAAATAGAAAATCAATTATTTTATTTAGGTAAATAAATTTTCAAAGATAATATCATTGAGCACCACTGTTAACTCTAGAGTTAACTCTGAGTGAATGCCGAAAACACCCTATGTATATCAACCTAAAAAGAACGATTAAACATTTTTTTATAATTTGCAGTCGCATTAGCAGGATTTTATCAAGCCTTAATAGCTTAACTATCCTTGCCCCATGAGCCTATATTTCAGTTTTTTCTAAATTTTAAGGAACGACGTGAATTAATTTGAAAATAAATACGATATTTGTGTTCAGCAGGAAATTACACTTTGGAAAACACTTACGTAAATAAATATTTGAAAGCACTAATATAGAAAACAATATGATAAACACTACGTTAACATTTTAGCAAAACAGACTTTTGACAAAGAAAAACTCCTGACTTCGCAAATGGTGGCAGATTGACTTCCAATTTTTACTATCATCTATTGGTGTTAAGATGCAAATATACCATGAATGACTATCCTTACCCCATCCTCCCCTACAGTTAAAAGTTACTATTAAAATAGTAACTAAATTACGTTATAAGTTACATTAAAAAAAGTAACTAACTTACGTTATAAGTTAGAGGAAAAGGAAGCAAGATGGGATAGTTAACGTTTGAGGCTTAATAAAACTAACATTACTATAACTATGATTAAAACAATTTTTACGAGGCCTATTAAACGGTTATTATATTTGCTGTTTATTGAAAAATTAATGTACAACGTTTGGATGCATTATGCATCCTCTTCAGGTACAATTTGTTATTACAAAATCTTAAAAATATTGAACATCGAACATCAAATATAAAGACACGTGGATATTAAAAGAAACACCTGTAAATTATTAGAATACATTAGCAAGAGCGATCCTACACGATATTTGGATTTAGATGTGATACATATATTAAATTTACCTCATAAAACTTAAAACATAAAACTTACCTCATAAAAATTTGGGGTTAAGTTGAAAAAAATGAAGTAGAGTGATAATCAGATAAGTACAGGTTATGTGAAAATTAATTACAATATCTTCTTTTTTTTTACGAGGGAAGTGGAAAATCTGCATAACCCTGGAGGCCTACTTCCAAGTCAGATACCTGGAGTCCGTACTCTCAGGTTATGTGAAGATGACCGCTCTTGTTCTGGTCGACCCACTAAAAACCACACCCTTTTTGAGACTTAAACTCCACTGGCGGAACTGCTATTAGCTTTATACATCGCCAGTGGAAGTCTCCTTACCGTTGCTCTCGGTCCTAAATCCTTAACTGAGTGCTAGCGCCAGAAGAAGGAGAGCCAGTTAAGGTCTCCCCCGTCCCGCGCGCCCACCCAGCCGAGCAGCAGGATTTCTCCGTGTTATCCTCCTCCTGTCGTCCTCCTTCGTCCTCATTACAGTTGTAATGAAGGACTCGACGCTCATCCAAGAGTCCGCGCTCTGCAACAAAATAGAAACCATGTTCTCGGATGTGACTTCAGTTCCCACAGCCGAGAACATGGCTAACCTGAGTTCACGCCAGTGCCCGCAAAAAAAGAGCGTGTGCTCCGCGTCGTCAGTGTGTATTGCTTCGTCGTCACCGGAACCGTTGCAATACACACATCTCGCTTCTGCTTCTATTTTAAATCGATAAAAATACTGTCCGAAACAACCATGACCTGACAACGCTTGTGTAAGATAGTAGCCAACTTCACCGTGTTTCCTATCTAATCATGTGGCGAGGAAGGGAATCAAGCTGTAGGTCCACCTACCTTTAGACTCCCCATCCCATCTCTCCTGCCATTTCTGAACGAGTCTACTTCTGGACTCTCTGCGTATTATCGCTTTGAGTCTATCGCTATGCTCTGAAGTACCCGCCAGATCTTTGTTAAGATGGAAGATCTCCTTCCTTTCCATCGCCAATAAATCCATTGGCGGTAATCCAGCGAGTACCAGAACAGCGCAAGTAGACACCGTTCTGAAGTCTGACACAATTCTCCGTGCCGGGTAAATTTTTTGAAATTTGAAATGAATAATTTAAAATTAATAATAATATATATAGTAAATCATCATAATTTTGAATGTATCGAAAAACAAAGATATTAGAAGGTTCAAAAGTGTTGCAAAATTTAGAGAGAGGGTTCATGATTTTAAAATATCGATTAGTTATTTTTTGATCCAGAAATAAAGGTGGAAATCCATTAATTATCAAGGTTTCTTTAACAAAACTCAAATTCTATAAATGAAAACGTGGTGCCATAGAGAATGTTATTGAGAAGTTATGTACAAATTTTCAAGAGAATTGGTTGAGTAGTTTCTCAGAAAACGTGTACACCGCTCCGAAAAATGTATTTTCGCAAAAAGCCGTATCTCCGCTATTTTTGAATATTTTTTAATTTAAAATTATTTTTTTAAAGTTAAATACATGTATTTTTAAACTATAATTATCAAAAAGTTGTGTTTTTAATAGTTTTGTCAAAATTTATTTTTGAAATAGCGTCCAATTTTCAAGCGTTTACGGTGGCGCGGCGTAACCCCTTAAGGTAGTTGTACACTTTTGGACATCATACAATCATTTAGCAATGCGTCATTTACCTGTTTGACTTTCTCATCAAGATTCACTGCTTTCTTATGAATTTATTTATAGTTAACAAAAGAATTCTGCATTTTTTCAGAGATGAAACAACACGACATCATTACTACTTGCAACTCCGAGACAATGTCGTCAGACATGGAGGGGGGGTGGAAAGCTTGCACCCTGATCATCCCCTCCATGAAACATCAGTTTCTGCACCCCTGCTCGCCTTGGCGGGCCTTGCCCTTCAGGCTGACCTTGGTGATTACTCCGAAGAACGTCACAAACCACATGCAGGAACTGTGGGCTACTGTAAACCCACTGATTACTTGCCACCTCACGTGAGTTTGTTTTGTAATTTATACATTATACAGTCTTTTCTGTTGTCAAAAACGGATTATTTATTGTCTGCTAATAATAATTAGATTAAAAAATTATGAAATATATTCATTTCAGATGTGCGTCGAATCGGCCGTTCTCAATGTGCTCGCGGCACAACATAAGAATAATCGTGGACTGTCAAGGGAAGAAGCAGAATTGCAATATATCCGAGAGGCGGTGCTCCTGGAGGCGCCGCTTAACGCACACCTCTACCGTCTGCGACGTAGCAAAAGTGAAGCTGGACCTGGACGAATTCTACTGGCGATATGCGCTCGCGGTGTGCGGGTATACACAGAGGAAGTTACTCCACGAATTTTCACCTGGAATAATATTGGCAAACTCTGCTTTGATGTGAGTTTCCAAACTCTTGTTAACTCTATTTAAACATACCGTTGTTCGGTTTTCAAAATGTATGGAGAAATCACTAATCAATTCATGCATTATTCCATCAAAAGTGTTCATTTTATTGTTACAGTTTAATAAATATAATATACAAGAATATCCTTAAGAAACCTTATGGATATTTTTGAAAATTATCCCATAAGAATTAATATATATAACCAGTAATCGCAATATATTTTTTTGTCTATTTGGATCTTTAACGGCAGGTCAAAGTCGACGCGATTTACCCACTGAAAATCTATGTAAAAATTGCATCGACTTTGACCAGCCCTTAAGAGCACTTCGGTGTTGTGGGTTGTGCGGCGTTTAAGACATTTTAATACATTTTTCTTGAAACGTTAAAGGTATAAAACAGATAACAGGGACATTCCAGAGTGGGCCAGGATCGACAAAAAGTGTCCAAAAGTAAAAATGTTTATAGAAGGTTAAAATAATTTTTTTTCAAATCTTGATACCTTAAAGTATATACAGAAGAAATATTAGGAGTTTTATTAGACTATTATATATTATTAATGCTGAAACTTTAAACTTTGAAACAGCACTTTAACTATAAAGATTTAAATACTTTAGGTATGAATTCTTAAAAATTTATCTTAATGATTTTTATTTGTTTTGAGTACATATTAATCTTTGAAAAAAAATTTAAATAAGAATTTTTTTCATGGATCCTAATTTTATTTTAACATATTTAAATTTAAAATAATTTTATTTTTTTAGCAAAGTACTTTCTTGCGTTTAATGTCTCCCGTGTCTCCACACGATGAAAAAATTATAATACCTTCTTATATGATGAGACGCATGAGAGCTTGATATAACGCATCTAACTGTGTGTCAGTGTAAAGAAAGAATATATTGAATGAATTAACTCACAGTTGAGCAAGTAACATAAGGATTTAATTAAAATTAAAAATTGACAAAAATTATCGAAACTTTTAAAATTTTCAAAATATTTATTAATAGTATATTATGCACCAAGGGTGGAAACACCAAGTTTATTGACGAGCACAATGTTTTCGAACAAGACGAAGCACGAGCCTAACCCATAAACTTCGAGTTACAACCCGCTTCGCACCCACAAAACCGCGAGTTTTTTGAGCATGTGTGATAAAAAATATTATTTAACCCTCCTACGGTTTAATTAAATTACAGAAATCGATAACATTGGTTATAGGCCAGTCAATAAAGACAAAAAGTGCCATTAAATGTAAGCAGGATGTTCTAAACGGATTTCGGCAGTTTTGGGGGATATTAGTATGAAGGCCCTATAGTTTGCTCTCGATTTCCGGTTGCGGAAAATGTTATAAATAAACATCAAAGTTGGCGTAAAGTGGTTTTTTGGTGCTTGTTGCTTTCCTCTACATTTTAGAGGGAAAAGTTGTTATTAAAAAAAAGTATAAAAAATACCTACAAAATAGTGGGTCGAAAGTTAAAATCGGATTATTTGTTTAAAAGTTATTGAATTTAAACCATTAAAAATGGTACTTTAATAATTGTTTAATAACTTTGTTAATAATAATCCGTTTGGAGTGAAATTTTATGAAAATGTGTCCCTCGCGATACTGAACAAAATGAAAAAACTTCGAACCCAATCGGATGAATAGTTTATAAATTATTCCATTTGTTAATTAACCCTAGAAGGAGTATATGAATTTTCTCACTCTCTAAAGAGTAACTTGAAACTTGTGTAAAAAGGTTTCTATTTGACATAAAACTAATAATAAATAGTGATTTTTATTGATCTTTTAGTAAGGAAAACAATAGTTGTATTGATTTTTTGATAAAATAAAAACAAGTTGGAAAAAACTTGCAAAAACGAAAAATTTTCCAAATTTGTCGAAATTTGAATTTTGCTGGGGTATGTAGACACTCCAGTTACTCCTTCTAGGGTTAAAAACTTATTGTTTTTCAATTTAATTTCTACAGAACGATATGGAGCGAAATCAATTTTTCTTCTTTCATGTTACTTTTGAAGAGTGATACTTTCATGTACATAAAAAAAATAATAAAATTTTATTATTTAATTGCATAATTATCCATAAAAAAGGGTACTTTTTTTAGTTATAAACAATAGCAATTACTCGGCCATTTTTTACTCTGTCGAGTTGTAATAAACGCTATTGAATTTCTTTTTTCTTTACAAAACTTTCAAAAAAAAAGAAAAGCGATGTAGCTTAAAGGGGCGTCTTTAACGTTCAGATAGTGTACCTAACCTTTCGAGCAACATCGGTTCTAAATTGTATCGCAGCTGCGCTTTTTGGTGGACAGATACTGTACTAAATCGTTTTTCCCACAAGTTAGGTCAGAATCAGTACTCAATTGGCGCTGCTGCTGTTCGATTTTAGTACTGCGTCTGCACATAATTGTGGTACAATATCTGTCCCTCAAAAAATGCAGATGTTGCGTTAAATTTCTCTCAGTGCAGTATACACTGTATTTTTCACTATAGCGCTATCGTGAAAAATATAGCTTGTCAAGGAAAATTCTTGAATCACGTAATTATGCAAAGCAAATTAAGCTTATTAATTTATTGCGTTTTAGCGCAAGAAATTCGAAATCCGTGCGGTGGATCAACCCGATAAACTTACGCTCTTCAGTGGATGTGATGACAAAAGCAAGCTTCTCCTCGGCCTGTGCAGAGACACTCACCAGTTTTCGATGGCCATAGCACCCAGACTTAACGAAGCGAGGAGAAGGGAGGAAGAAGGTACAAAAATGATGAATTATTATAATGAATCTTACGCTAAAAATTATTAAGCTAAGAACTCATATTAATGTTTTGAAACTTGATTAATTGTAGAAAGAAAAGTTTTAAGAGATTGTTATATGTATCCTGCGCGTTGTAAATTGAGCATGACAACACACAATGCTCGAGGAGATCAAAGAATATCTGTAATCTCGAGTACTTCGTCAAACACAACTTCTGGAATCGTTAGCGATCGAGTTCACAGCGAAGATGAACCTGATACGGCACCTGCGTCTACTGAGTGCCTTCCACACCTCACAGACCCTTTCGAACACAATGGAAATTCTAAAAATAGTATCGAAGATATGAATTCTAGACCACCATCACCAGTTTCCGCCATTGACGGTTCGTTTAAACCTTTTTAATTTTTAACTCTTTGTTAAATATCTTATGACAGTAATAAATTTATAATAACATAAAATAATAAATTTCTACTCTATAGAAGTCGACGCAACGAATACTTCTCCTACTATGCGGTTAACATCAAATGCTGTTGCTACTGAAGGATCTCAATGTAGTAGCAGTTGTAGTACTGTCGTTGTAGTGAGTGCTCTGCCAAATGGTCCGTCTCGAACACGACAAATATCGGCCACTTCAAGCTTAGAACTTGGATACTCTCACACTGCACAAAATTCAGCTGTTTCTTCAGAAACTACTAATTTTGCAGGAGTAATTTACGATAGATGTAAAAAAGCTGTTAAATATGCAGGTAAATACTGCCGTCATGATTTAAAAATACACTATCTACATTTGTCGCTTCTGTTCACTTTTGTGTGTTAATACTACTGAATAACGATCTAAGCGACAAACGTAAATAGTGTCTTTTTAAATCAGGACGGCAGAATACATTTCTGCTACGATAGTATCAGATTTAGTAAAAAAAAACAAGAATTTTATATAACTTCGTCATATTTTTAGGAACAGATATAGAGAGTGAAACAAGTGGAGTTTATACCCTAAGAAGTAGTGAAATGCAAGATGAGACAATTGCAGATCTCTATTCTGCAAATGAAGACGCCAACGAGTCATCGGCAGCTAGTGACATATGTGCTTTAAGTTCTGTTCAATCAACTACGGATGAAGCGTCCGTTACTTCAGGATTCTACACCATCCATAGTGGTTTAAGATCAGAAACTAGTGAAATTTATACGGAAGAAGTAACTGTAGAAGGTGCAGAACCCATCTATAGTGTTTGTAAAGGAGACGAGGATATTGACGTTTCAGGTTTAACTAATTCTCTTAGTGAACAACTTGAAAATAATTTAAGATCTCGCAGTAATAGTATTCTTAGCGCTGGAAGCTTTAGAGGAGATGGGAGTGATCCACCCGGTGTTGGTCCTTTACTTTCAGCCGATGAACTCTCCGACTTAATAGTAGGTCGCTATCCGCCCAGAAAGACAATCAGCAACTCGATGGATTCTGATTGCGACTACGTGACAATGCCACCACCACCACCACCTCCAAGAACCGACAGTGATAGACAGCTACCTCCCCCACCTCCATATCCCGTTACCACCATAGATTATGCCACTATTTCTTCTCCCAGAACAAAAGTCCCAACACTGGACAGAGAACCTCCACCTCCTCCACCATATAATGCTGTTAGAAGTGATTTCCTACCTCTTTCTCCAAGGAAAATTGATCCTCCATCACCTCCACCTTATACTTCTCCTAGAGAAAGAATTAAAATTCCTCCTCCTACACCTCCAAGAAATGACGCTGTAACCCCGAGGGAACCACCACCACCTCCACCTTATCCGGAAATTGCTGTGCCAAGGCAAGATAATTTGTCGCCTTTGTTTGATAATGGAATTAATGATGTTAATTCAAGCATGGCAAACTTGACTACCACACTATCTCAGTCTCTAGTGAAGGACAAAGTCATAACAATTGGCGAAACACCGCTGAACGTAGCACCAAAACCTCCTCCTAGAATCCAACCACCAACTTACCCCGGTGACAAAATGAAGCCAACTCCTGTTCATGCACCAGTTGCAGCACTAGTTGTTGGTCCAAATAATTATCTCGACGTTCATGCTTCACGTGGTGCTCCCGTTTTACTTCCATATTTAACACCGCCACCCCCTCCACCGATGGTTCATCCAAGACAACCTCCGCCTCCTCCTCCAAGTCTTGCTACCGTTTACACGAGCCAAGTCGCTCGATCACAAATCGAGCAGTATAAACAACAATTATACTCGGACGTCGATTACGTTATGTTTCCTCTAAAAGATCCAGCAATTTCCAAACAAGAATACATAGACGCAAAACAAGGATCGTTAATGGCAGCAATGGCTGCTTATCCACCTCCTCCTTATCCATCCATGAACAATAAATCCTCTGTTGTTTATCGCAGCACTCCTTATTTGCCTGGATCATCCTACTCATCTTCTTCGAAATACGCATCAAATCAAAATCTCAGCGACAATAGTTCAAGTAATTTCTTAGTCCATGGAAACTTGAGTAGTCACTACACTGCCAGTACCAGTTCATTGTACAGTGGTGCAACTTTTTCTTCAGGAGGAAGTCACAGTATGAGAAGAGAACCTCCTGCACCTGCACATCCCAACAGCTTGCAAACTTTTTCACGAACAAGGAGCGATGAAAATATTTTAAAGTCGTTTGATGTACCATTAAGTAACAGACTCCAGTCTCTTTCACAGACTAAACACCGGAGGCTACCACCACCTCCACCACCGCCACCATATGAGATACAGGTTAGTATGAGCAGAAAAAAAATTATTTTTTTAAGAATTTATAATTAAGGCATTATTTATGAACTATCTAGCTTTTTTGGTCAAGTCTTTCGATTCCTTTTATACTTTGTGAACTTACTCCTTTATATGAAAGTAATTTAACCTGCAAGTAATAGATTTTTCCCTCAACCCCTTTCTTAGTTTTAGGGTTGAATATTCAACCCTCCGGCATGCACCGTGAAATTCAAAAGCTTATAATTTTTTGTCTATTTGAGAAAATGAAACGGTCAAACTCCACTCTAAAAGCGTTTTTCATGCCCTTTAATAATATTTTAGGACTAATAAAAAATTCTGTTAATTAACATAAAAAATTGTTAAATTAAATGTTTATTTAAGATTTTGAGGTCTTAGGACACAATTCTTTCCAATTATTATTTTTTTAATCAAAAGCTTGTCTTTATTACACTAAAACGTCAATCGAGAACAGACGAATGTGTAGTGCTGTTCTCGATTGACGCGATTTTTATCGGTAGAAAATAAAAACACTCAGGGCCGTATGAAGTGCCTTGCGCAACAATGTGAACTTTATCTAGGGAATTTTCACTAGTGGGGCACTGAATACACCTTAAATTTAAAAATCACAAGTACGACACTGGCGTCAGTCATAACCTAAATTCTACCCGCTTCCCCACTTCCCCTCAAGTGTTCCCAAGCACTGTTTTCGACTGACGTGTTCTAGATTGACGCTTTAGTGTACTACAAAAATCTATAAGGACAAAAATCTATTCTCAAAAGTTTAGGAGATACAAATTTTTTAATCTTAACGAACGCGCCACGTTGAGACACTTAACCCGTAGCTTTCTTACTCACATGTTACACTACCCAAGTAGCACGATATATCAACCAGATGTCAAAATGTCCGCCTTACGGTGATATCACACGGTGACATCGAGGTGATATCATGGTGACATCGAGGTGATATCATGGTGACATCAAGGTGATATCACAGTCATATCACGGTGATATCATGGTGATATCACCGTGATATCATGTTGATATTTTACAGGGACTTAAAATTTTTAATAATTTAAAAAATAATAAAAAAATAATAATTTTTAAAAAATTTTAAATCTCTGTAAAATATCAACATGATATCACCGTGATATGACTGTGATATCACCTCGATGTCACCGTGTGATATCACCGTAAGGCGGACATTTTGACATTTTCCTGATGTCACGGTGACATTCCCCGGTGATATCACCGTGACATCTGGTTGATATATCGTGCTACTTGGGTACATTAGGTAGTTCGAGTTGTCCTGGTAACGGTTGCTATGGTAATGGTTGTCCTGGAAACGGTTTTTTTTATTATTTTACTCTTCCAAGTGTCCCACTTAATAAACAAATTATACCAGACATGATTTCAAAGTGCGTCACACAGTGCTCCGAATTGCGAATCTAGCAGGACAAAATTCAAAATTTTTGTGTCTTCAAAAAATATAAACACTATAGGAACACTCAAGCTAGATTCGCTATACGTACAACCGTGTGTCAGCCTGAAAAACTTAAAAAAAAACTATTCCTGGTACATGTTTATGTAGTATATATCTCTCACATAAGACATAAACATGTACCAGAAAGGGTTTTCTGAGTTTTTCACTGTGCTGCACTTTCAAATCATGTAGGGTGTAATTTTTTAAAGTGGGCGACTTCTAAAATGGTGTTCCAATTTATATGCTAGAACGATATTTAACATTTAAGCCATATCAGTCATCCGAAGTTCAAAATGAACATTTACAAAAAGGTGGCTGAAGGTGGTTACAAATAAATCATAATCTAACATTATACGGCAAAAAAAATAGTTTTACAACGAGCAAGCTCAGGCACAAAAAGTTCTAGTCCTTCGAAGTAAATAAAATGAATGTTAAATTATATAATTTAGTCCTATATATATACATAGCGATCATAAATAAAGAATATTAAGTAAAAATGTTTAAAATATGTTTTAGATACAGGATAATATCTCTAATTTACTACAAAAAAGAATTTTACTTCATTAGTTTCAAAGGCATTGAATAATTTATAAGATATCTGTTAAAGGTAATTTTTTACGGAAATTATGATATGCCGTGAATGTCAATGTTTAAATTGTTTTTAAATGAAAAACGTTATCTTTTCCAAAAAGGTAACATTCATATGTTAATGTAGAACAACTAAACATACTATTCCTAAAATGTTTATATTTTTTGAAGACACAAAAATTTTGAATTTTGTCCTGCTAGATTCGTAATTCGTACACGGAGAGAAATAAATGGTAAGAACTTATGATCTTAAGATGGTAAAAAGTAGATGTTATCCGGTACTATCATTATGCTACTCGGTACTATCAAAGATGTTACAAAAAGTATGGTTATGTTACCCACTGCAATCAAGATGATACTTTGTACAATCTGGATAGTAACTGATAGCTTCTAGATTGCTGTTCTTATATCAGGCAAAATTCCTGAAATGTCCGAACAAAAAATTAAAAGTTCTCGAATTTCTCGAAAGTCTAAAAATCAATTATTATTGAATTTAATAAAATAGTTTTTGAATTACAACGTTTTTAATTTTTGACTTTTGAAAAAAAAAATTTTTTTCAATGTACAATATTTATAAGTAGAATGCATAAAAGTTAACATATATATAATGATTTTGAAAGCTTTTTTGACGCGCTACACGCTGTTAATAAATTTTTTTTTTTAAATAACATTTGACCTTGAAATTCAAGGTCAAAATGTTAATTTACGTTTATCTCAAAATCGGATTTTTTAAAATTATTTTTAACTATCTCAATGGAAAGCTTGACTAATTTCCTACAAAACATGTAATTTTCAGAGTGGGATCTTTTAAAGTTTTTGAGATATTAATTAATTAATTAATTAATGTTTATAACAAATCAAATATTTTACAAACGAATAAAGTTACCGTAATTCTGAAGGTAGCAATTGAAACTTAACGTAATTCCGCATCCAACGAGCCCTATATGAAGTATTTTAGATAAGTAGATTGTTAATAAACAATTAGTTAACATTGCAATTGGTTATTAACAATCTACTAATCCAAAATACTTCATATAGGGCTCGTTGGATGCGGAATTACCTTAACTTTCAATTGGTAAGTTCAGAATTACCATAACTGTATTTGTTTGTAAAATATTTTATTTTTTACTAACAACAAGCATCCAAAAGCCCTATATGAAGTATTTTTGTTCAATTTTAGTTAAATAACAATAAAAAATGAAATATCTCACAAACAAATAAAGTTATCGTAAATCTAAACTAACCAATTGAAAGTTAAGGTAATTCCGCATCCAACGAGCCCTATATGAAGTATTTTGAATTAGTAGATTGTTAATAACCAATTGCAATGTTAACTAATTGTTTATTAACAATCTACTTATTCAAAATACTTCATATAGGGCTCGTTGGATGCGGAATTACGTTAAGTTTCAATTGCTACCTTCAGAATTACGGTAACTTTATTCGTTTGTAAAATATTTGATTTGTTATAAACATTAATTAATTAATTAATTAATATCTCAAAAACTTTAAAAGATCCCACTCTGAAAATTACATGTTTTGTAGGAAATTAGTCAAGCTTTCCATTGAGATAGTTAAAAATAATTTTAAAAAATCCGATTTTGAGATAAACGTAAATTAACATTTTGACCTTGAATTTCAAGGTCAAATGTTATTTAAAAAAAAAAATTTATTAACAGCGTGTAGCGCGTCAAAAAAGCTTTCAAAATCATTATATATATGTTAACTTTTATGCATTCTACTTATAAATATTGTAGGGTCAACCGGGGTAAATCCGAACGCTTTTAGTAAGTTTCAACAATAACATAAGTTTTTCCTTTAAAAAAAAAAATACTTCCGGTATTCTGGTACATGAAGTTGTTACTTTACTTCCATAGAACAATTTTATGGGGTAGCAAAAATTTTTGATAAATTACAAAACTCAAAAAAAATACGATAATAAACCTATTATGTAATAATGCATCATATATAAATACAAAAATCAAACAGGTTAAAAATTAAAATGCATTACACAATTAAAACCTTCAATAACACTATCAAATCATAACGGATTTTTGCAAAACTTGCTACAGAAAGTATTTTGGAGTGATTGAATGTAAATACAAAAATAAAAGTCAAATTTTTTAAATTCAAAATGGCGGACTTTCCTAAAACTTATTTTTAAAAATGATCAAATTTGCTAACTCCAAATTCGTAATCAGCGACCCTGAAACCCCCCGAGTAACAATTTTCGAGCGAATCCAATGAATTTTTTAATTCTCGTCCGCCATTTTGAAATTTGAAAAACTGACTTGAAATTGGTAATTAGCGATCCCAAAAACCGTAGAATACCAAATTTTATTAAGATCCTGAAAAACTTTTTTCAACAAACCATTTGACAAAAAAATTGAAACACTCCTTCGAGAGAATAGAGATTAAGTTTCTGCTTATTAATTACTAACGAGGATACGTATAGAAAGAAAAACTTTTTTCTACGTACTTTTATAATGTTAAAATAATAGTGTAATGAAATAAAAACAATTTTGTGTGGCTCTGATGTAAAAAAAAATTATTGAAAATACCGTTCGGATTTACCCCGGTTTTCCAATTTTCCTGGGTAAATACGAACGGACTGATATTATTAATAAAATTTTACAGAAGGCAAAAATCAAAAATAGTTTCTGTTCTAGTATTCATAACAAACAATTATAAATAATAAAATATATTTTTAGCTTCTTTTTCTTCAAACACGAGACAAAATACTGAAAGAGTGTTATCTTTTATTTTCAATCTTTTTTGCAATACTCGCTAACTTTTTTTTATGCTGTTGCTAATTAACAAACGAAAAATGGGATAATACTTAGAATCTTTTGTAGAGGATCTGAGGTCAAAATTCTCATATCGAACTTATTTTTAAAAATTTTAATTAAGCTGAAATAATTAGCGTTCGGATTTACCC